TCATCCATTTTTATGTGTTTAAATCAATAGCTAAAAAATTCTAATAAAGCCATACTAGTATTTCTCTATGCATATCATGTTGATCAAGTATTTAACACATATTTCTATTAGCTTAAGTATTAAGTATCTTATTTGTCTTGACATGTTATACTATCTATAACTGTTTTTCAGCTAACACACCAAGAGATATGGAATATATGAAGCCTTAAAAATAGAAACTTGTAAGCAGAAATAAGACTCAAGTATTTATGAGTCACCTGCTATGTACATTGCACTGAGTTAGATTCTGTGGCTATAGAAACATTCACCTAGCCAGCACTACAAAGAATAATAGAGGAAGAGAAAAAGTATTGCTTCTAAATCTGAGACACATTCCAAGTGTATTTGATCATGGTTGAGATTTTCATACAATGAGCTATGCACCTGGGCCTCTGGACCACTTGCAAATACCCTCAGGGAAGAGGGGCAAAATGCAGACATTCTGACCCTAAATACATCTACCTGCATCATTACCCTCTTCTTATAAAATCTTTCTTTATTTTGCAGGTGAGTCTGCCTCCTGGAATTTATGCTCAAATGCAATTTGGAGTTCTTACAAACATAATCTCTTTAACTTAAACATTTTGCATTTGCATGAGACACCAGGGAATATGAAATGATGCACTAATTGAAACATGACTTAATAAGGAGTCCATGAAACGGGGAGAGCCCCTGAACTGTAATCCTGGCTTGCATACCACTTGCTGTGTTTCCTGGTTTAATTGAATAATACACCATAATATTAGCTCCTCTTTTGTTGAAAGAAATAAACAATGAAGGTACCAGTCACTGAAAATTGAGTAAATTAAATAGTCAGTTGTTTGCCACTTTGTAAGGATGATCTATATATGTTTGCTGAAAATAGGGTTCACTGACTTACAAGCCTATTTTATGGTGGAAAAGTCTACCAAAATCTATAGATCATGGCTGTGTGTGTGTGTGTGTGTGACTCTATTTTGATATTTCTTTACTGCAATCATCTGGAAACAGACTTGCAATATCTCCAGGTGTGCTTGCATAAGGTGTTCCAATTTCTTCACATGTTCACCAACACTTACCTTTTTTTATATTAGACATCCTAACAGATGTGAGGCAATATCCCATTGTCATTTTCATTTGCATCTTTTCATATACCAGTTGGTTATTGAATGTCTTCTTTGAAGAAATGTCTGTTCAAGTCCTTTGCCCATTTTTAATTGTATTTCCTTTTCTCCAGTTGAGTTATAGGAGTTCTTTATATATTTTGGATATTAACTTTGTATCAGTTATATGGTTTGTAAATATTTTGATAACAGTTTTTAATTGTAATACATGATGATTTTTCCACTTTGATGGTCTTTGTGTTCTTGCTATGAATACCTTTTTATGCCAAGGACATTCAGATGTTATACTTCTTATGTAAAAGTTTTATTCTTTTACCTTTCATATCTGTAATATTCCAAAAAGTGATTTTTGTCTGCAGTGTAAAGGGTGTCAACATTCATTTTTTCCCTATGCATGTCCAATGAGTCAGAATTATTCATTAAAAAGACGATTTCTTTGTCATCAATCAACATTCATTTATGTGTTGATCTGTTTCTGATACTCTATTGTCCTATTGGTATATTGTCTATCCCTGTACCAGTACCACACTGTCTTGACTACTGTAGCTTTACAAGTCTTGAGATGTGGTAATAAGTGCCCTTCAGCTCCGTACTTTAACATTTTCCTCGCTATTCTTAGCCCTTTGCACTTCTTTTTTTAAGTTCTTTTTTAGTTGTTTTTATTGTTGCTCAAGTACAGGTGGCTCCATTTTCACCTAACCATGCCCCCTGCCCCACCCACTCCTGCCTCCCACCCTCAAGCCTACCCCCTTTAGCGCTGTCCATGTGTCCTCTATACATGTTCCTTGATGACCTTTCCCCTATTTTCCCCCATTATCCCTCTCTCCCCTTCCCTCTGGTTACTGTCAGTTTGTTCTTTATTTCAATGTCTCTGGTTATATTATGCATTTCTACATAAATTTCAGATTTCAGTTTGTCAATTTCCACAAGAAAAATTCTGCTAAGATTTTACTAGGATTAAATTAAACCTATAGTTCAGTTCAGGGACAACTCTTTTCTTTTTTTTTTCTTTTTCTTTTCTCTTTTTATCCTCACTCACTGGCTTCAGAGAGAGGATAAGGGAGGACAAAAGGGAGGAAGAAAGATAGGGAGACAGACACTAGCATGAGAGAAACACCAATCGGCTGCCCCCCTTCCATGTTCCTCAACAGAAGACCAACCTGCAACCCAGGCATGTGTTTTTTAATAGTAATATATATATTATATTGTGTGTTCATCATGCAAAGTCAAGTCTCATTCTATCACCATTTAACCACCCTTTACACTCTTCAACCTCCCCCCACCTCCTTTCCCTCAGAAAATCAGCATACGTTCCTCTGCGTCTGTCATGGGTGTTTTTCTTAATCCCTTCACCTTTTCACCCAGCCCCTAAACAACCAGCCCCTCTGAAATCTGTCAGTCTTTCCTATGCATCTATGATTCTGTTTTTATTTGATTTGATAGTTTATTTTGTTCAATAGATTCTACATATAAGTAAAATCATATGGTATTTGTCTTTCTCTAACTGAGTTATTTTCCACAGCATAATTCTCTCCGGGTCCATTTGTGCTATCAAAAAAGGTAAGATTCTCTTCCTTATTACAGGCGAGTAGTATTGCATTGTGTAAATATAACACAGCTTTTTATCCACTCATCTACTGATGGACACTTGGGCTGTTTCCAAATCTTGGCTATTATAAGTAGCATTGCAATGAACATAGTGTTGTATACATTCCTCCAAATTAGTGTTTTGAGATTTTTGAATATATGCCAAGAAGCGAAATTTCTGGGTAATAAAGTAATTCCATTTTTAATTTTTTGTGGTAACTCCATACTCTTTTTCACAATGGCTGCACCAGTCTGCGTTCTCACCAAAGGTGCACTAAGGTCCCCCTTTCTCCACCTCATCCCCAACACTTGTTGTTTGTTGATTTATTGATGATAGTCATTCAGACAGGTGTGAAGTGATAATTCATTGTAGTTTTAATTTGTATATGTCTGATGAGCATCTTTTCATAAATCTATTGACCATCTGTATGTCCTCTTTGAAGAAGTGTCTATTCAGGTCTCTGCTCATTTTTTCATTGGGGTGTTTGGGTTTTTTGGTGTTGAGTTGTATAAGTTCTTTATAAATTTTGTATATTAAACTGTTATCAGATGTATCACAGGGGAGTAAGTTTTCCCATTCAGTGCGTTGTCTTTTCATTTTGTTGATGGTTTCCTTTGCTGTGCAAAGAGTTTTTAGTGTGATGGAGCCCAATTTGTTTATTTTATCTTTGGTTTCTCTTGCCTGAAGTGGTATGTCTGAAAAAACCAATTACTATAAGAAATGTCTGAGATTTGACTATGTTTTCGTCTAGAATTTTTATGATCTTGAGTTTAACATTTAAATCTTTATCCTTTTTGAGTTTATTTTCATGTATAATATAAGAAGGTGGTATACTTTAATTTTTTTCATGTATCTGTCCATTTTCCCAACACCATTTATTGAATAGAATGTCTTAATACCATTGTATGTTTTTGCCTCCTTTGTCAAATATTAATTGACTATAAAAGTTTGGGTTTATTTCTGGGCTCTCTGATCTATTTCTGTTCAACTGATCTATGTATCTGTTTTTTATGCCAGTACCATGCCATTTTCATTACTATGTCCTTGCAGTATAGTTTGATAACATGTGACATGATTCTTCCAACTTTGTTCTTCTTTCTCAAAATAGCTGTGAATATTCAGGGTCTTTTGTGGTTCTGTGAAATATGCCATTGGCATCTTAATAGTAATTGTGATGAATCTATAGAAGATATATGCTTCCATATTTTGTATATGCTGTTTCTTTCTTCAGTGTCTTATAATTGTCTGAGTACAGATATTTACATCCTAGGTTAAATTTATTCCTAGGTATTTTATTCTTTTTGAAGCAATTTTTAATGGGATTGTTTTCTTTGCTTTCCTTTCTGATACTTCATTATTGTTGTTTAAAAATACAACTAATTTCTGGATATTTATTTTTTATCCTGCTACTTTACTGAATTCATTTATCAGTTCTAGTAGGGGGTGTTTTGGCAGAATCTTTAGGGTTCTCTATATACAGTCTCATGTCATTTGCAAATATGACAATTTTACTTATTTCTTTCCCATTTGGATTTTTTATTTTTACTTCTTGTCTAATTACTGTAACTAATACTTTCAGCAGTATGTTGAATAAGAGTAGTGAAAATGCACATCTCTGACTTGTCCCACTCTTAAGAAAAATTACTATAGTTTTTATCCATTGAGTAGGATGTTGACTGTGGGTTTATTATATATGGCCCTAACTACATTAAGGTATGTTTCCTCTAGTTCAACTCTGCTATAATTTTTATCATACATAGATGTAGGATTCTATCAAATGCATTTTCTACATCTATTGTTATGATCATATGTTTTTATAATTCATTTTGTTTATACAGTGTATCACATTTGTTGATATGCAGATATTGTATCAACTTTTCATCCTCAGAATAAATTCCACTTAACCATTCAATATGATCATTTTCATGTATTGCAGTTCTGGTTTGCTAATATTTTGTTGAGAAAATGAGTATCTACGCTTACCAGACATATTAACCAATGATTTCTTCTTCTTTGTGGTGTCTTTACCCGGTTTTTGAATTAGGATAATGCTGGCCTCATAAAATGAGTTTGAAAGTCCTCCCCCTTCTTGAATATTTTGAAATAGTTTAAGCATAGGTGTTAATTTTTCTTTGAATGCTTGGTAAAATTCACCTGTAAATCCATCTACAGGAATTTTGTTTCTTGGGAGTTTTTTAATCTTGATTACTGTTTCTTTTTTATTTAATAGTATTTTATTTTTCAAAATGTGCAGCTGGTGGGACCTGTGGTTCATGCATCTTCACCAACAGCTGGGGCATCCCCACCTTTGGTGTTTCTGGTATAAATTACTTGAGCTCTGTGCTTTGAAACTAGTTTAATAAGTCCTTTACTGAGGAGTTCCTGAAGGGCTCCCCTGGCCAAGGAACTGTGGATCTTCAGTTGCTCAGAGACAATAGCTGGGGTTACAAACTTGTAGTTGGAAACTTCCATACAGACTTTATCATATGGTGCTTTGTCAAACAAGATTAGGTTATTGAGCTTGTCCCAAACTTTCCCTTTGGTCCACTTCTTTTCGGCCTTGCTCCCAGATTTGTTCACTGTGTTTTTTTCTTTCTTGGCAGACTTTCCAGCATTTTTCTTCCATGTTGTTTTGTTGGGAACTTCCCTGCCCCCAGCCCCAGGGCTAAGGCTGAGTGAGCAACCTTGGGACTATAAGACACTGAGACAAAGCTTATCTCCCTGGCAGGGATGCTGCCTCTGCTCCCTTTACTTTACCCTGCCTGGTCCCCAGTGTTTGATCAGTTAGCAAATGACAGGTAAGATTCCCCAAGGGAGGGACCACCTAAGACAAGCATGATCACAGAGAGCCCCTAGGGAAGGACTTGGGGGGCTATCGCAAAAGGGGGTCATGGACCCTCGCCCCTCAACTTTGACATAGCCTGTGTCCACATTCTGTTTGTGAGAAGTCTCCTAATCTCTTGGCTGTCTTACTTCCCCTGACTAACTTAAGCCTAAAACAATGACAGGGTGGTGCAGCCCTGTGCTGGAAAGGGCGGGTTCCCCCGGGTGATCAAGCCTAAGAAAGAATACACAAAATCCTGTGAAACCTGCTTTGATAAGAATGCTCTCAATTAAATGATAAGGGTCCAAGCAGGAAACGAGTTTGTTCCCCAAAGTTTTGTAGCCCTTTAGCTAACAGACCCTGACTCAGAATAAGTCCTCATAGTTCTCTGTATGTTATCTATTGTTTGATCCTTACTGCCTGACAATGACTAATGAGCTTTACCTGTATTCCTGTGCAAATTGAAAGTCAATAAAAGCCTGTCAAGGCAAGGGTAGGGGCCCTGTCCTCTTGAGAGAGTGGTTAGGCCACTCCGAGGCACATTCCCCTTGAGAGAGTAGCCATGCCATCCCTTTTTCTCCACAGCACTCGGTAGTTCATGTGAATTTATCTCATCTCATCCTAACACCACAGACACTGAGGGCTGGTGTCCCCATCATTGTTGTCCTTGGGCAGCATGGTAAAACTCAAGGAGCATCGAATCTTGCTGCTACCTGAGAAGATGTCAGACAAAAAGCTTGATTACTGTTTCAATTTCATTTGCTGTCATCTGTCTATTTAAAATTTCTGATTCTTTATGATTCTGTTTTGTAAGATTTTATGTTTCTAAAAATTTACCCATTTCTTCCAGATTGTTCAATTTGTTGGCATACAGCTGTTTGAATATTTTCTTTCAATTTTTTTATTTATTTGATGTCAGTTGTTACTTCTTCTCTTTCATTTTCTGATCTTATGTTTTTGGGTCCTCTGTCTTTTTTTCTTGATGAATCTGTTTAAATGTTTCTTAATCTTGTTTATATTTTCAAAGACTCAGCTCTTGGTTTCACTGGTCTTTTGTATTTTTTAGTCTCTTTTTCATTTATTTCCACTCTGATCTCTATTATTTCTTTTCTTCTAGTAACTTTGGGTTTTGTTTGTTGTTCTTTTTCAAGTTCCTTCAAGTACATAGTTAGATTGTTTATTTGAATTTTGCTTGTTTCTTGAAATAGGCCTGTAATGCTATGAATTTTCCTTTTGGGACTGCTTTTGCTGTACCCCATCTTTTTGGGGTTGATTTATTCTTATTTTAATTTGTTTCCATCTATCTTGATTTCTTCCTTGATCTCAGTGTTAACCCAGTCTTTGTTTATTGTGTGTTTTTTAGTTCTCTTCTTGTGGTTGATTTCTAGTCATGCCATTGTGCTCAGAGAAGACGCCTGATATGATTTCAAGCTTCTTAAGTTTATTGAGACTTGTTCTGTGTCCTATCAACTGGTCTATCCTAGAAAATGTTCCATATACACTTAAAAAGACTTTTTTGTTCTACTTCCTTGTGATAAAATGCCCTAAAGATATCAATTAAATCCATTTTATCTAGTGTGTCATCTAAAGCTACTCCTTCCTTGTTAATTTTCTGTGTGAAAAATCAATCCATCGATGTCAACATGGTGTTAAAATTCCCTACTATTACTATATTACTGTCAATCTTTCCCATCATGTCCATCAGAATTTGCTTTACACATTTAGTTGATCTTATGTTGTGTACTAATGTTTATAAGGGTTATATTTTCTTTTTGGGTCACTCCTTTCATCTTATACAGTGTCATTCTTTGTTTCTTACTGCAGCCTTTGGCTATAAAGTAAGTTTATTCTGTCACATATAAATATTACTACCCCAGTTTTTTTTCTTTTTATTTATGTGAAATATCTTTTTCCATCCCTTTACTTTTAGTCTATATGTATCTTTCATTCTGAAGTGGATCTCTTTTAGACAACATACATACCAGTTTTGTTTTCTTATCCATTGAGCTACCCAGTGTCTTTTGATTGCAGTGTTTAAGGCATTTAGATTTAAGGTGATTTTGCATGGGTATGTATTTATTTCCATTTTATTCTTTTAACTATGTTCCTCTGTTGTTTCTCCCCTTCTTTCTCCTTCTTAAAAAAGGACCTTCAACATTTCTTATAATACTTCTCTGGTGGTAACAAAACCCATCTTTTTCTTGTCTAGAAAGCTTTTTATTTCTCCTTCAATTTTAAATAGCCTTGTTTGGTAAAGTAGTCTTGGTTATAGGTCTTTACTTTTCATTACTTTGATATTTCACATCAATCCCTCTGGTCTGAAATATTTCTGTTGAGAAATCAGCTGACAGGCTTATCTTCCTTGTACATAATGATCTTTCTCTTGCTTTCTCTTTCTCTCTTTGTCTTTAATCTTTGCTGTTTTAATTTGATGTATCTTGGTGTGGGCTTGTTTGGGACTTCATGTGCTTTTTGGACTTGTGTGTCTGTTTTCTTCACCAAGTTAGTAAAGTTTTCATTCATTGTTTCTTCACATAGGTTCTTGATCTCTTGCTCAATCTCTTCTTTTTCACACCTACCCCATGATTCAGATTTTTTTACACTTTATATTGACCCAAAACCCCTTAAACTATCCTCATTTTTTATTCTTTTTTCATTTTGCTTCTATGATTGGGATTTATCTGCTTCCTTGACTTCCAAATTGCTAATTTGATCCTCTGCTTCATCCAATCTACTGTTTATTTCTTCTACTGCATTCTTTGTTTCAGATGTTATAGTCTTCATTTCTGTCTGGTTCTTTTTTATGGTTTCTATGTGATTTTTATGCTTTCTGTCTTTTTGTTGAAGTTCTAAGTTCTTGAGCATCCTTACAACCATTTCTTAAAACTCTGTATCTCAAAAAATGCTTGTCTCCATTTCATTTACATCTTTTTCTGTATATTTCTCCTGTTCTTTACTAGAGAATGTTTCTTTGTATCTCTATTTTTGCAGCCTCTCTGAGTTTGTGGCAGTTTATTAGGTAGGTCTTCTATTACTTCCAGACTTGAAAGAGTTACCCTATGCAGTAGGTGTCTTATGGGATCCAGGGGTGCAATCTCCTTGATCACCTGAGCTTGATGTTCTAGGAATGTCCCTTATGTGGGTTATGTAAGCCCTCCTACTGTAACTGAGTCTTGATTTCTATAGGCCTGTTCATGCATTGTGTCAATGCTCAATTTTTATGACTGTGAGCATCCATCCATACCTCATTTTACCTGCTGCTGTGCAGGTGCTGTCCATATGATGTGAAATTTGCCTCAGCAGGGTCTGGTGTCTGCTGAGATCTCTCTTTGTATGTGCTACTTGTGAGGCTAATTTGAACCTGCTCTGGTGTTTTCTGAAGCTGGCCACAGGGTGTGTTGGATCTGGGGCATCGTGGAAGGCACTCTGGTGCAAATCAATGTCAAGATACTGCCTGTGACTGGCCCTTGGCAACTTGTCTGAAGCTACAAAGTGACCCGGAATTTATGGCTGCCTCTGCTGGACCTGTGTGTGTGTGGGCAGGACTAAACTGCACACAGAGGCCAGTTTTTACCAATACCAAGTCCTGGGGCAGGTCAACAAAAGTCCAAAGGCACCTGGAGATCTGCCTTTGCCTTCTTCACCTGTTGGCTGTCTGTTAGGCTCGGTCACTGAAAGAATCTCTGGTGATATACAAGTTGTATAAGGTAGGTTCTCAGTTAACCATCAGGCAAGATCCAGCAGTGTTCACCAGGATGATAGAGGTTCAAATTTGATGTTAGTGCTTGGTCTGAGGCCACTCAACAAATATCCCAGAATATATCAAGTCTAGCTGACATCAGCTACTTGCTTACACACTTTTGTGGTTGGGAGTAGTCTCAGGGAGTTATCCAGGGCAAGACCAACATAGTTTATCTGGCCCAAACAGGTCAAGATTTGGCTATGTGAAAAAAAGGCTCTGTACTGGTAGGGCACGTAAGGGAAAAATGTCCCCTATTATAGAGCTATACAACTCAGTCTGTCCCAGATTTAGCCAGAGCCCAATCTCATCAGACAAGAGCTAGGAGGAGTTGGGAGGATGGGGTTAGTGGATCTCTTTTGAGAGGTAGGTGCAGGTCAGACTTGAGAGAAGGTATGGGAAGTGATCCTTGCTTCAAAGCCACACAACGCAGTCATTGAGAGCCCCTGAGTCTGCCCAGACCTCTACACTCTGACCCAGACAGCTGACTCCTCAGAAGAGTACATGCTCCACAGGGTGGGGTTACAGGGATTCCAGTGTGTGGGGCTATTACATTCCCCCAAACTGATGTCATATGGAGGGGAGTGCTCCACCAAGAAAGTTGGCATCTTCATTATGGGAGAGTGACTCAGCACAGGTATCCTGGTGGCTGTCCATCCTGCTCTCTCCACAGAGCCACAAACCCCAGCCCATCCTCAATTCTAGTCTCTTCTGCCCTCCTTCTGTGGGAGTCCAAGGTGAGTGGCTGCAAACAAGATTTTGTGTGTTAGCCCTTTAAGATGGTGCCTGTGTACTGGCTGGTATGATTCAGTGGATTGAGCACTGGCCTGTGAACCAAAGGGTCACTGGTTCAATTTCCAGTCAGGGCACATGCCTGGGTTGAAGGCTGGGTCCCCGATGGGGGATATGTGAGAAGCATGTTGTTCTTTCTGTCCCTTCCTTCACCCCTATCTAAAAATAAATAAAATCTTTAATAAAAAAAAAAAGATGGTGCCTGTGTCTCTAGTAGACTTTCCTCTTTCCCTGGCAGAGATAACCCTTGCTGATTTTCACAGCCAAATGTCACATGGACACCTTCTCCCAC